CGCGGACAAAGGGCCTCCACAGTATCGGAGTTCACATGCAAACGCGAACGAAGATCGGAAGGAATGGAGCAAGTTCCACTTCGGACAGGGCCTGCTTCAGACCCCGACAGTATGGGCGGCGATCCGAAGTGCCAGAGTCCAAAAAAACGGAGCCGGCACAGATGCTAGGAGGGAGGCCAAAGACACCGGATAATTGGCAGTGAGGGCAGCTCTAATGCGACAACTTTCTCGCCTCTCTCCGGCCACTCGCAACCGTCTCATGCGATTCGGCAGCTCCGGCCCTGTGTCAACTTGCTCCGTCGTGCGACTGCTACCGCTGTGCAATTGCAGTTCCCATGCGGCTTTGCAAGCATCTTGCCTTTGTTCTTGGATGGCTTCTCGCCTGGATAGCCCTTGCGCAAAGACAAGCACTCGGCAGAGGGATTTTGCCAAGAGCGCAGATGGCGCCTGAGAAGGAAGCGGTTTGCCGTCAGAGCTTGAGGACAATGCGAATAAACCAGGACCTCTTCTGGATCGAACGGATCAGAGAGACAACCTGTCTGCAGCGCAAGCTGCCGAGCTTGCGCCCTCGTCACTCCTTCGGTGTGAACTGTTGGTTCTTGTAGGCTCGTATGGGCTCCTCTGGCGGGAGAACTCCACCTCGAGCCTGCCATCGTGGACCCGCGTCATGGCTTGGTGCCGTTCTCATGCTCCCTTGGCATCCACCGTTGCGGCCTGTGCCATTCCATCCCCGCGCACAAGTTCTGGACATTGAAGCAGGAATCCATCTGCTCGGTGGCTTCCGTTTCATCCTTTGGGCGTGCTGACGGCATCTTTTCTCACCCGCCACCGCAACAATCGCGCAAGACGACAGCCAGAACTTGACACAGGCACGTAGAAGGCTGCTCGAACTCGGTGCGAGGATGGTTGGTCCGCCGATGGTCTTTCTGTGCTGGCAACTTTATGCTTGGCGCCAACAAGTCGGTCTCGAAGGAACCGACGAAGCACGCGGTGGAGGGGCATTGGCGTGGCACAGGTGCTGTTGCCAAAACGCGATTGCAACATGCCCATTTCTATCAGAGCGGTGGAGTGATAGGCGCCACTAGCTCTTTGGCGGTGTTGGCTTACTCTCCAAGATCTTTGCAAGGAGCCGTATCTGGCTCTGCAGAAGAGCACGGCGCTTCTGAGCTGCCCGCATCGTGAACATCGAGGTGATGGTGCATGTGGAACCGGAAAGGCACCGCGCTTGCACCGCTGGGCTGGCTCTGCGGAGCTGCAAGTCGTCGGAGCGGCATTTGCCCCAACTTTCCCAGTGATTCTGGACCGCCAACGGATGCGGTGGATTTGTAACCTTCTAGTCTCCCTTTCGTCATCTTAAACCGCAACAGTTGTGGAACTACATTTCTTTTTTTGATTCGATACCGAGATAGCGAGGTTCTCAGGTGATCTCGATTCCCTTAGGGCAGCTCAGCATAGTCGCTGCTCCTTGTAGCTTGTTTGAGGTTTGTGTGCGCACTCCAACATGGGCCGTGTTTTTGCCGCCTCATGAAGTTCATTAGCTGCAAGTAGGTGGAAAACATGTTGCAAAACAATGATGTTGCCACATTGCCCTCTTTACGTTCGTGGAGGAACGGCCCCCCACCGCCAAGTTGTCCGACTGTGTGCTGACACTGTCAGCTGTGCCAGCAGCCGTGTGTGAAAGAAAGTAAAGAAGAGGAATCAGACACACAACGGCCGTTTTTGCTTCGTGCCTCAAAGCGCTTTGATGCAAGAGTTTCTTGGAATGCTTTTCTATTTTTCGAGGCTCTTTTGGAATGCTCCTTCTTAGCTTGCAGCTGACAGCATGGACGATATCGTTTACCAGATTCTGGCAGTTCACATGCGTGTGAAAGCTGTAAGCCTGGAGTGCTTATTAGACGCAACTGAGCACAAGCTGGGCGCGGGCTGTGGACCAGAGAAAACAGGGTCCATCTCGATGTTGGTATAGAGCTGAAGCAAAACCTTTTGGAATTGTGACTTTTCACACTGGAGGCTCAAAAGCTTAAAGATCTTCGGGACCTCAAAGTTCTTGCAAAACTCCATGCTGCACGTGCTACGTGGCAGTGTTGCATGTGTGGCAGGTCATCTGTTTCACAACAATGTCGAGGAGCACGTGTAGCGTGGATTTTGATGCCACAGGCATGTGGCACGTGTAGCACGCGAATTTTCGAGCTTTTTGAGCCTTCTTGCTCAATCTTCGATTCGATTCGCATGCTGGCAGAAATTTTGACCGGAGGCTGCGACCTTCACGTCCAGAGGATCTTTTAGCTGAGCTTCCCTCCGGAAGTGACGATTTTTATGCTACACATGCAACGCCGCTTTGGCGCAAGGAACGGCGGCGATTTCCATACTACATATGCTGCGCCACTTAGGTGCAAGAAAACGTGGCGATTCAATATCTTGAGCACAGACGGCTGCTAGTTGGAGTCTTGGCGTCAGAGTCCAAAACTGTGTCATTTTTTTCAGCGTGTTGTGTTTTCTAGTCAGAGAAGTCCATTCTCTAGCCAGCCCATCCATCTCCTCGGAAGACGTTCCAAGACTTGCAGACTCTTCCTATCCTCAAAAGTGCACGCCAGGAACTGCACTAGAAGTTGAAATTCATTCCAGATTGTACCTTCGAGTCTTTTTTCTTTGCTCTTCCGGTCGCCCATGATGTCTAAGTTGCTTCAGGTGCTTACGCAATTAAGAGAGTCTCTGTGAGAGTCTCCCTCTCTTTGATCACAAACAGCTCCTCCAAAGCACGGCAGAGTCTCTTCTCGCACCTCTCCACAAGCTTCGATCTTGTTTTGTTCATCTGCCATGCTCCTACCACAAAGAGAGAACCGGCAAGCCGAGAAGTCTTCAAGTTCACCTGCTTTGCATTTCCGCTTTGTAGATGCTCTCTAGCTCGCACTCCGTTGTCTCTGGGGTTCACAGAGTTGTTTTGGCGGTTGTTCATCCTGCTCCTCTTGGGTTCAACATGCACACGCAACGCAACGCAGCTTGCTTTTCAAAAAAAACCCGCCTGCTTCCCGGTGGGAATGAGACGCGTTTGGTGTCCCGTTGCATAACGGGAACAGGTGTATTCGGAAAAGATACGGTCGACGGTGCTCGTGTTGGTGATGATTCCGGCTGTTCTCGTGCGAAAGCAAGTTAGAAGTCGAACATTTCTGTGCATGCCCATGTCATGTGTGTTTTAAGTGTTACAGCTCTTTGAAGCATTTAAAGTCAAATCTCCAACAACTACAAAACTGCAAATGTGGGGCTGCGACAAAGCCTACACAAGTAGGCGTCCTGCCGCAGCAAGTCCAGAAGGGAATGAAGTGAAACAACAGTCCAGGCAAAATAGCCTGCGATTTCTCCAATTTTCCAACAGCATTCAGCCATGTACTCGTGTTTTGGAAGTGAGCGTGGTGCTCTCACTGCACAGGCGGCTCCTTGTAGCCAGGGAGACTCGCTGTTTTGGCGCGAAGGGCAAGCTCTGTTACAAAGATTAGTCAAGCATGGTCTGCTGTACAAAAAGACTAATTTGGTTGCGTGTAGTATAAGCTGATGGCACCTTTGTCATTCGGTCGTTTTGCTCATGACAAAAAACGCTTCTTGCTTGTGCGATGGAAGCTTTCTGCGCTCTGCAAGCTTGCCTTGCAGGAGCGGGACAGTTCTTGCTTGGCAATTATGATCTCCAGTATGCCTGTGTGCGATCACAGATCCTTGCATTTTCCAGGCTCATCGGCACATCGCGGGTACATATATGGATGGCGACAGTATCCGGTTCAGCGGGAGCGGCCGCCAAAGATGCGCAGGCGAGGCTGTTCTGAAATAAAACTGACCAGTACCGTCCGCGTCGCATCAGCCACATAATCCCTTGTCGACTGTTGATATAGTGATTGTTTCATGACATGCGGTTGGTAAAAGTGCTGGCATTAAATGTGGAAGACCCGGTTAATTATTCCACTTGATGCACCAAGTGCGTTGTGTTCAGCATGAGGTTGATGCAATTGTGCTGCTGCCCTTGCCAGGTTCCCCCGCAGCGGGCGTAGTGCTCAGGTTTTCTGTGCACTCTGCGCAGCTGGTCGGCTTGGTGATGCTCCACCCTTACCTCGACGGCGTGGCCCAAAGGCAGGAAACGCTAGTTTTCCTTGGGCTGCAGCCCAGATTCTGTTTTAGTCTCGGACCGGGTGAGGCAATTGAGCACATCGGCCACTTGTCCTACTCATGTTGGTAGCGAAGCAACTGTAGTCAACTTGTTCGTGCGTGCTTCAGTCACAAGGAATACAAGATTCGGACAGCTTTTTGAGCATAAAGTCCTATGGATCACTTGTCGCAGTTTATTTCATGTTCAGCTTGTGCGTCGATATGTGTCGTATGTCGCGGCGAGAGGACATTATGTTTCGACAAACCAAAAATTACCCCGGGACGTCAACTCTTTCTGGGTCCAGCATGGTCTGGACTTTCTCAGAAGAGTACAATAATGTGAATGTTGGCCAGGGCCCGCGGCAAAAGCGCCAGATCACGAAGCAGGAGGCAGGCCGATGCAGGCTGTTAGGAACGACCGATGACCAGTGTATACCGTCATGCAGCCATATGCAGCGTGCTGCGTTCATCAAGTTGTCGGTGGCCGTCATTGAATTATCATCAACATGTGCCGTGCAGATGCAGCCCGAAAGCACAGAGGATGCCACTGCGGCAAGTGCTCGTGCCCGCTTCGAAGAACGCCGGCGGCAGTGGGTGTTGAACTCGATTGCAGATGGTGGACCGTCCTGCAGATCTTCAGTTTTTTGCATGCGCATTGCCGTGTGACCAGTATCCAGGCAAAGATGCGGAGGGATGGTCGGCTCGACATGGAGTCATCCGTCACCGAGCAGGACGTGTCTGGAGAGACGAGACATTCGGCTTCTCGTGTGTTTTGAGCATGTGCAGGCAGTGCTGGAGAAGCGACAGCAAAAGAAGCAAAAGGACGCCAATGATCGCACCAAGGCTCCGCCTCCGTTGTCTCGGTGACATTCTCGGATGTTTGATGTTGTTTGCCATATTGATGAGTGTGCAACGAGGTTGAGCTGCGGCGGCTGAGAGCTGAAGGCAAGCAGCAGGACCTGGCGGAAGCCTCAGTGCCGAGAACTTTGCGCGACGCTGTGGCCCTGAAGCCGCGTGCCCCGTCATCTTTTGCTCAGGTCGAGCTTCTGCCGACGTTGGCTGGAGATCCTTGGCAATACGGCGTCCGGAGCCGAGTACGGCTCATGTTGAATTCGAGGTCAATCTGTGTTGTCATGGTTGCGTGCCGTGTGTCTCGACAGTTTCCAGTGTTTCCCTGTCCTCTAGGTGGAATGCTTGCTGTCCATGGGCGCGCTAGAGTCGGTTGCGGCAATCGTTCGAGATGACAGGCTCAGCTCCATTGTATCAGTACCATGGCGTCCATGGGACAGACATCGTTGCAGAATTGCTTTTTTTCTCGCCTCGCACGTGTTTCGCAGCCAGATTGGATTAAGAGAGTTGGGCCAGAATGACGTCACGTCTGTTGCAACTCAAGAAAAAAAGGCTTGGTTCGTAACTAGAAGAGATGCATCGGACATGAGCAACTTGACAACTCCAATGCATTGAATGTGATAGAGACCTTCAAAGAGCCTTGGCCCCTTGGCCTGGCAGAATGCGGTCCTTCAAAAGAGGTGCTGGGGCTAGAGTCAACAGGGAAGACTTCGTGTGCCTGTCCGCTGTGACAGGTACCGCGTTCCCGATCCTTCGGCTTGCCTGCCTGTTAGCCGTGGTCCTGGCGAAGCATGTAGAGAAGGACGACTAGAGAGGAAAGAGAAGGGGTGCCTGGTCATTGATATGCCATGATGCCAGCATTGGTTCTCAGGACACCGTCGCGGCGACTGCCAAAGAAGCAGAAGTCGCGCATCCGGAGCTGTGCTTAAGCTTTGTCGATCTGCGCAAGAGTTCTTTTGTTGCCCTGAAGGGCTCTGAAACGGGGCACAGCTTAGAAGTGGGCTCTTTCACAGGAGAAGGCGGTTCCAGAAGCTGAGTCGCCCAAATCCGAGGCGCGACCACAGTGGAGTAGCTTAGGATGCTGTTTTTCATTGAGCCCGCACGCACGGAAACTGTTTGAAATCAGACGCTCAGACACTCAGATGCTCAGACGCTCAGACGCTCAGACGCTTAGACCCTCAGACACTCAGACACTCAGACAGACGCTCAGACGCTTAGACCCTCAGACGCACGCTCAGACGCTCAGACACTCAGACACTCAGACGCTTAGACACTCAGACGCTCAGACACTCAGACACTCAGACGCTTAGACACTCAGACACTCAGACGCTAAGACACTCAGACACTCAGACGCTTAGACCCTCAGACGCACGCTCAGACGCTCAGACACTCAGACACTCAGACGCTTATAGACCCGCTGACACACGCTCAGACACTCAGACACGCAGACACTCAGACACTCAGGCTCTCAGACCCTCAGACGCTCAGACACTCAGATGCTCAGACACTCCTCAGCTAGTCGAATCATAGAGGGCATAAGTTCATAGGCCCTCATGATGTGTAGATCTGAAGAGGAGCTCGGAGCCGAAGCGGAGCTTGGGGGAGAAGAGGAAGTCGAGGAGGAGGAGGCAACGAGCTTATCGTTTGGACCGTCTGTCTGTTTTGTTTCACACAAGAAACAGTGCCTTTCTGAGCATGTTCAGGCTACATCCGTCGATGTGACCGGGGCCGTGTTCTTGCTAGGGGGCGTGACTTTCGTCATGTCCCTGTTTTACTTAGTGTGGCTCGTCGCTGTTTGGGTCAGGTCAAGCTCCTTTGTCTAGCTGGTTTGCAGCATACTTGTCCCGGAAAAAAACATTCAACAGTTACCCCTGTTGCATATCCATTTGTGTCTGATTTTTTCGCAAGGCGTGATTGTTGTGTAATGTAGGCAGTGCTTCTGCACCGTGCTGAATCCCAGGAACCATGATGACATCGACATCCGGATGCACACCTGGAAGGTCAAGCCGAGCGTGCTTGTCATGCAAATTGTGTTGTATGTTGTATGCACGACGCTTTCGATGTAGGCATGTTCGTGTGGAAGCTTGCCACAAGCAAGATGCATGTGTGCTGCGCAGGTCATCAACGCCACTGTTTCAATCTTTGTGGCCGTTTTACTCTTTCAGGCACACTGTGTCCGAGTTCAGTACAAGTGAGTGGACGGATTGATGTTGGCGTTGGGACGTTCATAAAGACCGAGTTGGCACGCTGACAGGGGCTCGCCGGAGTGTCAGACATGATCTGCGACCGGGTCATTGAAAGTCACGTGAAGAGAGAGTTCACCAAAATTAGTGACATTGGCAGCACTTTGTTCAGGCTTGTTTGTCTTTCTGTTCACACCAAACGACGCTTTCTTCTAGCACTTTGCACTTCACGAGGCATCGCGTACATGACGTTTGCTATCTTCTACTGCCGCCTGCCTTGAGTGAGCTCATCCCGCCTTCACTGAAGTCGGGCCATCCAGCGAACCGAGGCTCTTTGCATCTGATTCTGTACAACATAGCCCACATGCTCGGCCCCTGGTTGGTGCGATGCAACTGTCGGCTGCAACCGTTGCATCGAAGCTCCAGATTCTGCCGGGAGATCAGGACGGATGAAACTTCATCGAAGAAGTCTCAGGAAGTCGCCTGGATTGTTGGAGGATCAATGCGACCTGGGTCTCGTAGACTGCATGCTGCAATGCCTGCTGAAGACGTGACCTGCAAAGGAAAGCTTCAGGTTAATGCACGGTTGCCCGTAGCACGCTATGTGTTTCCTCCGTCTCCGCTGGCAGATCCGCTGCCGAGGCAACGTTTTGGAGCCGTGCTAAACCGGTGGAGGCCATCCGATATTGGTCTGCGTAGGCATGAGCGCTAGTTACTTGTGCCAGGCTTCTTTCGAGGACCTTCAAAAGCGCAAGGTCGGGGCGGGATTGAGGGCGTGATGCAAGAATCCGTCAGTCGATGCACCTCATCTCACCCGGGCAATGTTCCGTGCTGTGGTGTTCCTCACTCTGTACGCTGCGCAGATGGCTTGCTGGGCGACGCTGTTCTCTCACATGTCTGGCTTTGCGATCATTCGGTGTAGCCTCGACCTCCAGCAGCTCCAGAGCTTCAAGGCCCGGCCAAGTCTCTGTACCCGCAAGGAGTTCTTGCTGCTTTCGGAGCTGCAAAATCTGCCAGCTAACTTTAGCAAATTGTAGCGAGCGCAAATCTGGTACAACTAGCCACTGCTGTCACCATCCAGATCGTTCAAATCTGCAGCTGTCCGATACGCACGTAGTGGCAAGCGTTGTGGTCCTTGGTTGAGCCAGCTCAACATAACAGACAAGCGAGGATTGTACCCGTCGTGCTGGTCTAGCATCGGCGGGTTCTGTCGGTTGAAGCCGCAATCAACTGCAACTGAAAATGTCCCATGCAAACTGTCTTTGTTCCGGAACCCAACCCGATGTACGCCTTAAGACGAACAGGTAGGCGTCGCGGTGGTGGTGCCCACCGTCGTCAATGCAGCAATCTCAGGGTCTGTAGCCGATTTGTTTTCTGTCATGGTTCTTCACAGATTTTCTGAGGCTCTGCTTCTCCTGCTCTTGTTCAAGATCACGGATGCCATGCGCGCTCGAGTTGCCAGTGAAGATCCTCGGTACCAGCTTTGGGAGCATGCTTCCGAGGCCTGGAAGCCGACCCTATGATTTTTTGTGTTGTTATTGTTATTGCCGCTATTGGTTTAGTAACTCTAAAACGAATACTAGTACTAGTACTAACATTTTTAATAAGCATATTAACTAATTAGTATTATGGATCATGATAGATGTCTCGGGAGTAAACGGCAGAGCAGAGAGGGCTGGGGGTAGCGTGCATGCAGCGTTTTCTTATTCGTGCAAGTTGTGGCTCCATTGCGTGAACAGTATGCGCCTTGCACAAAGCTGGCAGGAAGCAGAAGATGATGCCGAAGCCTCAGGGTAAGTTGATAACGATCGTTTCCAGACTCGTCTGCTTCTGATGCAGGTTGCTGCTATTGGCATTTCCTTCTCTGCCGTCGTGGCTGGAATGCAAACAGACAACACGACCTAGGGGGGACGTATACACATAATATACGCAGGATGTTGGTGTAGTTGACAATCTCTGGTTTTGGGGGCGCTTTGCTGATGGACCTGATTCGAGGTAGTGCTGCGTGTCTTGGCTGCAGACGCACGGGATATTCAGGGTTTCTGCAAAAGACCGCTTTTGGGCTCTCTGAGGTTTCCTCCTGACCGGCATCATGTCGAATGCCGAGGGCCTTGAACTTCCCGTGCTAAATCATCCCCACGGTGCCAAGATCGGCATTGGCCCGGGCCTCGATGGCAAGTACCGCTGGGCACACCTTAAATCCTACACGGCAGGTGTTGCGGCTCTCGTCTGTGCCATCACGTCGATCTCTATCTTGATGATCCACGCGAAGCTTCCCGAACGAATCAGCTTGTATTGTTTTTGCGTTCATCTGCACTTGCCAACCTTTGGTTTCATTCTCGTTTCGAGGATACAGGAGCGCAATCATAGAGCTCATGCGCTCGTGGCAAGTCAGTCCACCCCTGTGGAATACCGCCAAAGCTACATGCCTCTCGGCTGTCTCTTACTTTTCCTCGAGTTAGTAGCGAACCATTCTTCTTGCCGGCAGGGTCCTGCTTTACTTGGGTTTGTGCCCTTTCTTGCGTTTGCTGTCATGGAGTTTTCTTGGCCCGCAGCCTGGCTGCCTGTCCCGTCTTGGCAAAGGCAACGGGATCTACGTGGCACTAGACGGTTGGGGGCATGAAACTTTCTTGTTGATTTTGTTGGTTCTGCTATGGCGTGTGAGTCATGAAATGCATCATCCCGTGAGTCACTGATGCACTACATTTATCTCGAGCGCACGATTTTCTGAATTCACTATTCTTCCGGTTTGGCAGTGTCCTTGGTCGAGAGGGCACGCACACACAGGCACTCGACATGAG